GGGTTGTGAAGCACTGGAAGGGGCTGCCCAGGGAGGTGGTCGAGTCCCCATCCCTGGAGGTATTTAGAAGATGGGTAGATGCTTAGGGACATGGTTTAGTGGTGGGATGGCAGCGTAGGTTAACAGTTGGACTTGATGATCTTAAAGGTCTTTTCCAACCTAAACAATTCTATGATTCTATGAACATCACGACATTCCTCTGACGGAGTTTTAGCGACAAACAGTAAATAAAAGAGAAGGCATGCATTCAGTTTTGAGAATAACACAAAACACTGGGAGAAGCCCAGACTCCTGGGGAAAGATGTGACCGCAGCATTTTACAACCTGCACATCTGACGGGGGGCGGGGGGGGGACGACACCAAACACCAACAAAAAGAACCCCCCCACCGTTCAGAAAGCAGGACTACTACAACCTGTGTTTCTATTTTAGACATATTTTTCAAGGATTTTTTTAACAATCCAACTAAAAAAAAAAAGCAAGCTATTTCTGGCTCAACTCCCTAGACAAACTTATTTAGGGCAGGGTGTTGCTTCAAGGAGATAAGTACTGTTTATTAAACAGAAGCATTGACCTGATAAGCAGTCAACATATATTTTTGCTGCAGAAAAGATGCATATGTGTTAGCTATAGGACTGAAGGATCTGAACTAAACTTTAAGGGGAAAAAAAAAAAAAAATATCTCTAAGTATTACAGCTACTTATCTGAATTCACTTTTTGGACTACTGCCTCAAATTATGAATGCAAAAATCAAACTACCTTGTGTAAAATGTGTTACAGCAACCAGCTGTGAAGCATACAGAGTCACAAAATAATTCCAATTGCTCCCTCACTTTCAAACGTGACACAAGCCATACCGATAAGGCTATGAGGAAAGGCTTAGGAAGCTGGGCTTGTTTAGCCTGAAGAAGAGAAGACTAAAAGCACACCTCATCAACACATACAAATATCTCAAGGGTGGATGTCACGAGGAGGGAGCCAGACTCTTCTCAGTGGTGCCCAGCGACAGGACAAGGGGCAGTGGGCACAAACTGAAGCAGAAGAGGTTTCAGTTGAAGATGAGGAAGAACTTCTTTACTTTGAGGGTGACAGAGCCCTGGACCAGGCTGCCGAGGGGGGTTGTGGAGTCTCCTTCTCTGGCAATATTCAAAGCC